GTGTGTATAAAATGTAAAATGGAAACACCAGGCTAGAGACCAGTTAGTTTCTGGAAAGTTAAACAACAGACAAAAAATAAAGGGGTAGGGGAGGGATGGAGGGGGGCTCCTCTATCTAGGGAGAAAAAAGACCAGAACTAAAGGAAGAGCACAAGGAATCGGTTACAAAAAAGCGCAGAGAGGTTTTTATTAGGATAGTGACAACTTATAGCTGGGATGCAGACTCGGTACCAGGGCGCATGAGCTGCTCTGCCTGAAAGCTCTCACGAACAAGAAGGACTGGAGAGAGAGTTACTGTCTGGGTTGGAGAAAGAAACAAAAGTAATGAGAACAAACTTCTTGAGGAGTCCATGGACCAGCCAGGCTGCAACCACACTAACCTCAGAGAGCAGGAAGGCAGAAGCATGAAACAAGAGGGCTCAGCAAGGTAGCTTTCATGGATCATTTTGGAGGTTTTTTTGTGGGGGCCACTCTATGTGGGGGCCACGTTCTACAGCCATTCCTCCCTGCTGAGGTAGGAGGTTGTGCTGAGAAGAACTGATGTCAAGGTCTGAATACGACGAAGGGAAAGCTATGCCAGAAAGAACAGAAAGCAAGCGTGTGTGGTGTGGTGTGGCGTGGCGTGGCGTGGTGGTGAGTGGAGGGCTGCTGGGAAGAGGTGAGATTTTTGCTAGGAAAAGGAACTAACCACAGTGCCTGAGGTTCTGGATATTCTACATCATCAAGGGGACAAAGAGATGGGGACAAAGAGTGCTGGGGAGGAAAACTTCCCTGAATGCAGGGAAATGTCATCAAAGGAATAGCATTAAATCCTACATTCAAGGAGTTCTCTGAAACCTACCAGGAAATAAGGAACACCTAAAAAAGAACTTAGGCATCATAGCAGAATCTGCAGGCTCTTTTAAAATTATTTCTGAGCTCTTCTCAAGACTACATGTATAAAGAGAAGCCCAAGAGAAAGCAGCCACGATGTCAGTCACTTGGGAACAATGTTGAACCCACCTCCACGAGAAGGTACAGGCTCCCTATGTAACAAACCCTTAGGGAAGGATGAGCCACCCTATCCGTACCACTGCAGAAGAGGGTGGGCCAGGGGGTCCAGTTTGTCCATCTGCTTCTTGATTTCCAAATACGAGCCCTGGAAGACAACGGTCATGAGGTTACCTCTCAGGAGAGGTGGGACCCCTCCCACTTTTGAAGGACTGACTATCAGGGTCCAGAGCTAAGCACTGAAGGCCACATGGGGGGCAAGAGGAGATGGGAGTTCCCACCCTCAAGGAGCCCCAGTCAGGTTGGGAAGACTCATCAGTATGAAAATGACTGAGTATGTTTACAAAACAACATGCAGGTGGGTCTCCCTCATTTTATGCAATTCCTACAGCCCTAAATAATTGATTGGAAATTACAAAATAAATGAAATCAATGTCCCAGAAACATTAAGCGAAGGAATCCCTGCAGTAAAGCTTCACACACGCAGAGTCCTCTATCCTGTAGATCATCCCATCTAGGTGCGCTCATGTGTTAATCTGAACTGTGACACGTAGGATTTGCTGAGAAGAGGCCCACCTGTAAACGTGAGTACAAATGAATGTCTATTCATGCAGAGATTGCAGACGAGGGGTGGGGAAGTCTGGTGAGGGACAGCCTTGATTCAAAGGATGGTCACTGCTCCTGTGGCTGCCCCACCCCTAGAAGGATAGAAGACGTAGGCCCCTGGGTCTAGCCGCTTACCTCCAAGCCCCCCTCCTCACCCTCCCCGCCCAGAGCAGAGGGCTTGCCCTTACTTCCCTAATTGCCTAAAAATCATGGGGCAAACATTAAATATGGACAACTTGTGAAGGAATTTGCAGCCAAGGTACAGTTTGAGAGAGACATTAAAGATGAAGAGAAGGTGAGAAACGATGTACAAATGCGCTTTACACAATTGATGTGTGTACGGATTGGGATAACAGTTGTATAAGCCCCTAATAAAATGTTAAAAAGAAAAAAGAAAACAAAACAAAACAAACAAACAAACAAAAAACTCCCCAAAAAACAAATGATGGCAACATATGTACAAATATGCTTGATACAATTGATATATGGAATGTTATAAGAGCTGTAAGACCCCTCAATAAAATGATTTTTTTAAAAAGAAAAAAAGAAAGAAATAGAAAATGAGTAAAACAAATTGAAAGGAAAAAACAAAACAAAAAAAAAAGAAGAGAAGGAGTAAAAGCTAACAAATAGAGAACAAGGACTGGGAAAGTTAAAGAGGGGGGACTAGAGAATATAGCGACGACACTGTGCAGAATCCATAAATCTTCCCTCCACTCCCTTAGATCGCAAGCAGAACAGGGGACACTGGCAGGCAGAGGGAAGGGGACAAGCAGAGGGTGGAATACCTGGGTCATCTCCCGGATGGACATCACACTATCCAGCGCTTTCTGAAGTCGCTCATAATTCTTCTTCTGTGGGGAATTAATGGGAAGAGAAGATCCAGGTGAAGAAACGTGGAGGAGAGCAGAATATGACGAAAAAGAGCCCAATCCACAAAAGAAGTCTAGACCCAAAAAGGAACAGTGTAATATGTAATGGAAAGAGCATTAAGCCATATGTATATCAGAGAGGCCTGAAACTCCAAGTTCATTCTTTTTCAATCAATGGAGTATGAGCGTAAGTTACTGAATTTCCCAGAGCCTCAGCATTACAAACCCGGAATGTTTGTACATGAAGGTAACACCCACCACCTCCCTACAGCTGCTGAGGATTAAATAAAATCACCGATGTGCATAACCATGAATGTGTCACAGCGAGGCACGGTGGTGGGTCCCATACATATTATTTCCTAGTTACAGATACTCAAATGACGTCCAGGTCTGTCTGGCCTGTAGTTTTCCCTGGCATCTATGATATTCATTCTTCTCCCCATTTCCCAAAAAACTCAGCTTTTTAATCACTGAAATAGCTAAATCCTAGGGTTCAAGAGTTCCCAAGAAATAAGGCACAGGACCTGCCTTCTTTCCACTATGAGGTCCCATCCAGTTCTCAGGAGGGGTCTTGCTCGCTCCAGGACTCATTCTCGCCAAACCCTGCTCAGGGTATACGCCTTATACCCGACTCCCCGGGCTCTTGCTTTCCCTGAGCCACCATGTCACAGCCATGTAATCGGCTTCTTCTGCTTATTCCAAAATGGTGTGTGACTGGGACAGGCCGCGGTCTCTCATCATCTTTTACTATTTCTATTCTCTAGTCCCATTTTCTTTCCAACCAATTGTACCTTAGGGTTAAAGGCCAGTGTCTTGGGATCAGTGGGGTCCACCACGGAGGGATAAGGTTCAAAGATGATGCTTTTTCTAGGGGACTCTAATGCTGCCCTGCACATGGCCACCAGCAGATCGACCACCTTGGGAGAAAGGAGAGAGAGGGAGCAGCTGAATGAGGTCCCAATCCTGGAAGCCACACTGTACCCAACCCAGCTCTACCTTCTAGGGCTCTCAGCATTTCTCTGTGATGTGCTTTTTAAAAGCAAGTACATATATTTGTGGTTCTATAATTAGAAATTACAAGCTCATTTAAAAAATTCACACCAAACCAAAGTAATTAAAGAAAAATGAAAATCATGTCCTGCCATCTTGAAACAAACCTCAAAGTATATTGTTAAACTCGATGTACATCCTTTTTGGAAACAAGTTATTTTGCTATTTAACCAAACCCACATGCTTAGACAGACAATTAGAAAGAGAGACTTGTACTATGCATACTATCATATTTGCTGTTTAATGTAACATTGTAATTTTCTACCTATAAATGATAGTCTTCCCACTTTGAAGAAGTACCGTATTTCTGAAACTGGACCTGCTACAGATGGAGTTCTACCCACATTTTTACTCTAACAAACTGAACATCTTTATTTCTAATGGCGCTTCTGTAGGTTCAATTTCAAGGAGGAAAACTGTCGGGTTCTCTGGCTTTCCCTCCTTTTCCCAGCTCCCCAAGCACCTTTCCCGGGTCCACACCTCTGCTCCAGTGGCCACCTCCTCCGCAGCTCCAGACATGACTCCCAGGGTGTAGAAGGAGAAAACACAGAGCTCACGAGTACAGACGGCTGGCTGAGTGGGATATATTAAGCAGACAGGGTGGGGGAAGGGAGGTAAGCATTAAGGGAGGGAAGGAACAAGGTAGAAATTTGGGGCTCTAAGGCAGAAACAAGATATTCTATAAATAAGTGAAACCTAAATTAAAATGACATGCTCATAGGTTGAGGGTCAATGCGGTCTCCTTCCCTGACCTCCCTACCAGCGAGCTGTTCTCTTCTACATGTCCAAGTCACTGCTTGTAGCCCCCTGAACACGTAATATACACTGTGATTGTCATCAAATGTCTGTTTACCCACCTTGACTTGGAGTTCTCGAGGATAGGAACATATTCAATCATGCTGGTTAGTATCTGTATCTCTGTTTTTAAATGTTAGGTGGGGATTGTCATCTCATAAGCATCCCTGCATCCTCATCGCTCTATACAAGATTGCAAAAACTCTGAGAAAAGCAATTACTCTAAGAGTTTCAGGGCATATGGTGTGAATTCCTCCTTTCCCCACAGACCCAGGCAGGAAGGAATGAAGGAGAAGGTGAAGGGCTGTTGGCTCAGGGAAGAGAGTTGTAGAGTAGAGGCCTATACCTTCAGCATGGACCCGTTCTGAAAGACGTGCTGCTCATCACACACCACACAGTACTCATTCAGTGTTGGAATCCTCTGCTCCGCATACTTCATGATCTACAAAAACAACAGATTCTATGCATTTTGGGAAATAGATATGTGAAATAATCTGAGCATCTTTTCCAACTGCTTGCCACCTTTCCAGGGCTATCCCAGGGCTAGATTTATTCGTGGGTCGTGCTTTAAATTGATGGCCCGACTGCAAAGCTAAGGCCGTACAGGATAAAAATAAAATATGAAATGACCTTAGATTTCCAAGACCTGGGCTGAAAGTTCCACTTCTCCTCCTTAATATCTTCCATGACTTTGGGCAATTTGTGTTTCTTTCTTTCTTTATTTTCTTTATTTATTTTTTGTTTCTTTATTTATAAAATAAGATGTTAATCACTTCACAGGAGCATTGAGAAGTATCAGATGGTTTCATTAAAGTATTTTATAGACTTTAACAGATGCTAATCAAATTATTCACAGTAGTTGTCATGATTACAGATTGTCCCTTTTGGGACAGCTACTTAATCCATGATCAGGTGACAAGGAGGCTTGAGAAGCCATTGCAAGTATCTATAACAATCAGACTGACCACAGACAGAGCTCAGTGCTGGGAAGATGACAGATCTTTCTCCTGTGGGGCAACTGGTGGGTTTGAGCGGCTAACCCACTCTGGCACCAGGGCTCCTCGGTGTGTCATATGGGTGCCATAAAAACAAAAAGCATTAAGGGGAAACATCATTTCCAGTTACAACAAGGGAACAGAGAACACTTTGTGGATAGGTGCCATCTGCCCCTTGACTGCAATAGGCAGATATGGGAAGAAAGCAGGTGGAGGCGATGGCCGAGCAGTGAAAGAAGTCTGTGAAGCCCTTAGTGGCCCTCCTCCCTCTCATCCTGCACCGAGGCACCAACAAGTCGCAGCGCCTCCTTTGTCACTTGAACTTTTGAGTGCTGTCTCACCAATAATGCTGAGGGTCCTGAGGGGGGGGAAAGGCACCTTCTTTTCTCCTCTCCGTAACAATTCTCTGTATGGTTTTAGAAGCGCAGCAACTCAAGAAGCATTTGTTAATGACTAAGGAGGTAGGAGATCAACCTTAGAGGGCGGAGCAAATGGGTCAGACAATAGGAGGGAAAGAGCTTTGGAATTACCTGAACAAGGAATCCATACTCCAGAGTGGGAATGTTCTTGCAGTGACCACTGACCTAATAAGAATAAAAGGCCCCATGAGCGTCACAAGAAGCTGGGGCCCAGCCAGGCCTCACTTGAACACCTACCACTAAGGACCCTCCAAAAGTAGCTAAGTTCTAGCTTGGGTAAGCCCGTATAATTCCAAAACTGGGAAGACCTTAACATATTTTCCTAGAAGAAACAAGTTCACTTAAGGTGAATACTACGTAATGCGTAGATGATCTTCTCCCAAGGTACACGCAACAGGTTAGTGCAGCATCTGACTACCATGCCCTATCAACCCTAATGCTAAAACCTAATACCAAATATGACATCTCACTGGGGTAACCATCCCCAGACTCTGTTTCATGGTCTACTGATATAAAAACTGTCCAGGCAGTTTGGATATGTTTTCGGTCATGCTACCCACTCATGGTATGTGCCCAAGATTTTTTTTAAGCATTTTATTGGAGGCTCATACAACTCTTATCACAATCCATACATACATCAATTGCGTAAAACACACTTGTACATTCGTTACCCTCATCATTCTCAAAACATTTGCTCTCCACTTAAGATCTTGGCATCAGCTCCTCATTTTTCCCCCTCCCTCCAGGCTCCCCCAGCCCAAGATTTTTTTAATGATTCCTGATAACCATGGCATAGTGGTTATTCGTTGGGCTGCTAGCCAGAAGGCCAACAGTTTGAAACCACCAGCCATTATGCAGAAGACAGACATGATTTTCTACTCTCAGTAAGAGTTACAGTTTCAAATGATGGCAACATATGTACAAATATGCTAGATACAAATGATGTATGAATTGTTATAAGGGCTGTAAGGGCCCCTAATAAAATGATCTTTAAAAAAAAGAGTTACTGTTTCAGAAATGAACAGGGGCAGTTCTACCCTGTCTTTGAGGGTCACTCCATGGCAATTAATCTGAGTTTTGAGACCACCATACTCTCATTCTATGTTCAACAGCTAGACTCCAACATTTCTACTCCCACCCTACTAATGCCCAAACCAAACCCTCCTCAGCCCATGTACCAAAGGAGAGGTCCGTGCTGGGGGAGGGAGGCCCACGTGCTGGGGGCACAGGAGACCTGCCTGGGGGCTCGGAGGGTAGCCAAACACCTCCACTTTGGGATTCTTCATGGTGCAGGAGATGGAACGGTTCATAAGACGCCCAACCCGAAGCTCTGGCACACCCAGTTTGCCTTTTAGCATGGAATCCTGTATGATAGGAAAACTGGGAGACCTGGGAAAGAGAGATAAGTGTTATACTGGGGATTCAATATGAGCCCTGAGAAAGGACTGGTGCTACAAGGGATCTGGAGCACCTTAAAACCCCATGAAGACATTTCAGGTACAACTACCGGTTTCTCTTCATCTGAGAGAAAGAAGGCAGATTGAAATCAAAAGACTTATGGAAACATTTAGTCTTATAGATTAATGGACCACACAAACATCAGTGTTCACGACCCTGAGACCAAGAAGAACTATACGGTGTCCAGCTACTGCCACCTACTGCTATGAAAAGGATCACATCAGAAGATCCTGAACAGAGTGGGAGAAAAATGTTGAACAAAACCCTAAACCTTAAGAGAGACCATGCTTACTGGTTGTATTAAGAGAGGTGGAATCCCTGAGACATTCAGGTCTGGAATTAAACTTGCTCCTGTGTTAGAGTAATCAACCATTTAAGATCAAAAGGACAGCATTTTCCCAAGGATGAGTTCAGAGTTAGGAAAGAAGGAGCGATGGAAACAGGAAGCATAGGGAGGAAGTGGGATGGTTACACTGAGGGAAATGCTAAGGATAAGTTCTAACGAAATGCATATGCATTCTTGAATACAGAACTGATAATGTACTCTGTAAATCTTTACCTGATTCATAATAAAAAGTAGAGCGAGAGAGAGAAATATCAAGATCTGGACCAGGATGGGTAAAGTGACAGACGCCTAAGAAACACTTGTATCTGAGGAAAATTCCATTCATCTTAAATCACTATCAAGGAAATTAGAGCATGCATCTGAACCTGAGTCTTATGTCCTATCTGTGTGATCTTCAGAATGAGTCCAGGAAGGGTAGGCAGATGCAGAGGCTGGGCCACTCTCTCTGGTTGGGTCTGGAATGACCTTTTGGAAGGGATGACTGCTTTATTCACATGTATTTGTGACATACCAAATACTGTGCTAGACAAAACTAGTCACAAGTGATTGTCAATATCGATGCCTATGAAGCTAAAAATGTGCGACCCTAAGAGGCATCTACTTAGTATTCAATAGTCAAATATCTGCCACTTGGGTTTGTATCTGTCATGGGGAAGATCAGAATGTACCAAGAGAAAAAGAAAAACCCCAAAGTAACCATGTAAAGAATGGAACAATATTTATCTCCAGAACCTGGAAAATAGATCAATGTACCCTTTCATAAGAATGAGGAATTAGTGCCCGATTCCTTACTCTGCCTTAGGTTGGAGCATAAGCATGAGAGGCAAAGAAAGGAAAGATGGTGATATCTGCATACGTTTCTCCAAATATACATGACATGCTAGGCATTATGCTATACATAAAGGCTAGGGTATGAGCACTGGTTCAAGAGTAAAGGGATAGTAAGGACACATAGATGGCAAGATCACATGAGTAGTGTTAACTGATACAGAATTAAAGATACAGAATCCAGAGAACCTACAGAGAGGTCAGAAAGCTAAGCTTAGAATATCAAGGCTAAAATAAGGCAAAGGCATTGGAGGTTATCTGTTGCTAAGGAACACTTACTTGGGGATGGGTGAGAAGATGCTGAGGCCAGCCCGGAACTTCTTGATAGTACCGCTTGCCTTGAACCAACTGTGCCTCTTCTCCTGTTGGGTCTTCAAGAAATCGTTGCTGAGATGTTTCCATTGTTGGGATGTGAACATGCCCAGGATCCTGAGAGATCAAAGAAGACAGGCTTAGGAAAGCTTAAACACAAAGAGTTGGGTAAATAAATAATGACCAAGAGAGGGAATGAATCTAAACTTCAGACCCAGGAACTATAAAAGTAGTTGTGATAGGGGAACATGTGTTTGAAGATTCCCTTCATATGATCTTAGCACATGGAAATGTATATACTGTCCTAAAGGTAAGGGGGTAAATATTCACTCCTATTACCTTAAAAGGAGACATCAAAGTGAGCCTCCAAAGGCTAGGAATGTTGGAATTTAGAGCCAAAAACTGACTCTGCAGTGAGGCGCAGAAATGGTGGGATGCAGGGGAGTAGCAAGCTCTGCCTTGTGAATAGTCAAGAAGAGGATTAGGGAGATGAAGTCTCTTCATGAGGAGAGCAACCCCATCACCAAAATGATGGCTTCCAACTTTAGATGGACCCTCAGACTGGTCGTCGACCAGTTCTCTCTAGTGTTATTCTAAGCTATTATATTAAACTTTCATCATCTTAAATTCTAAGTTTAATCTACATTTTACCTCTCTCTGAGGCTATACTAGAGAGAACTGAGGTCAACATAGATAAGCTCGCTTAACTTCTCAATCCGACTACAAAAGGATCTCCATTTTCATCCTTGTCTCCATCCCTCCAATCCTTGGAGATAAGTAACTCTCCTAGTTAAGATCCATTCCCCTCTCTGGCTCTAAATTCCAGCCCCTTCTTGAATTTTGAAGGAGCTCTAGAGGAACAGTGGTCACACACTGTGCTGTGAATCTCAAGGTCAGCAGTCTGAAACCAGCAGCTGCTCTTCAGGAGAGAGACATGCCTTTCTCCTCCCATCTAGAGCTAAAGCCTCAGAAACCCAGAGGCAATTCTATCCCGTTCCATAGGGTTGCTATGAGGTGGGGTTGGAGTCGACTGGATGGCAATGAGTTTGGTTTCTGGTGTTTTCTTGACCCTCTGGGCCACTGATCTATCAACTATCTCCTGCTGTCTTCTATTTCTTTTCTGTAGTCTATGAAAAATTTCGAGTTCCTGTACCTCAGTCTAGCTACCGCTCGTTCTCCCCTTTCCATACTCATCCAAAATTTTCAATCTATACTTGTTCTTCCTTCCTCACCTACCCCTCCTCAGTTTGCTGCCTGCTGGTTTCCACCTTCCCCAGTCCACTAAAATTGCTAACTTCACAGAAACTCTCAAGTTCTCTGTTTATTTGGATGCCTGCTCTCCTCGCAGCCTCTCTCCTCCTGGCCTCCTTGTCCCTCCCTTCTCATTCATTTCTCACTTCGCTGACCTACTTTCAGTGCCTCCTTCTTCTGTCTACCTTGCTGGAGTCTTCAGTATTTTCTCTGGATGCTAAAGGGTGTTTTGCCCTAGATCTTATTTTCCTTTCTTAGGCAATCTCTCAAATTCTATGTAGTTTGTAATTAACATCCATGTAACACTCATTTATTGATATATCTATCTTTAATCCCAACTTCCCTAAGTACCAAATCCACATATCTGCCTACGGAGGATCTTCTTACCTGTATATCCCAACTCTAACGCTAAACAACATATCTAAAACAGAACTAATTTTCCTTCCCTATCCCATATTCCCTTCTTCTTACCTCCCTATTTAAATTGAAGCTATCATAATTACCCAGACATCCGGGCTTCAAATCTAGGAGTGATTTTCCACTACACTTTAGCTTTTATGACCATATCCAACACACCAAATCACTCTTCAGTCCTACTGATTTTACACTCTGCAAGCCCCTCTCACCTCCACTTTTATCTATAGGCACACCGTACTTCAGGCTTTCATCATCTCTTGTCTGGACCTCCTTAAAAGCCCGCTGCTAAACTGGTTCTGGTCCTCTCTCACCTCCTCTCACCGGTTCTGAACAATGCTGCCAGAATGGTTTTTCTAAAAATCTGAGCATGTCCTTCCTTGGCCTATAACCTTTCAATTCTCCCCATTGCCTACAAGGTAAAAACCCAAGATCCTCTCTGATTTGAGCCCTTCCCTACTTCTCTGGCTTGGTTTCTTCAAAAAATTCAAGCCCATTGCCATTGTGTCAGTTCCAATTGATAGCTTCCCTGGGGCACAGAGCAGAAAACGCTCTTTTGGGTTTTCCAGGCTGTAAATCTTAGATATAGGCAACCTCATTTTTCTCCCATAGAGGCTACAAGTTTTGAACAGCAAACCTATGCGGTAGGAAGCAACCCAATGTCTAAGCCATCACACCACCAGTGTTTCTCCCCCCTCGGGTATTCAAGCAATACAGAACGACTTGAAGCGCCTTACACACACTCCATCTTTCATGGCTATGCCTCTGCAATGTTACTCACTCTTAGAAGTCAACATCTCTTTCACCCTTTCATTGACAGCCCTCGTCCACTGGCCACCGGCCGGAGTCATTCCTTCCTCTGTGTTCTTCTCAACCTTACATATTCACTTACATGAGGGGGCTTCAAAAATTCCATGGGAAAATGCCATTCCCTTTTAGTTCAATTTTTCCGTTAACTTTTCGTTCCCATTCATATTAAAACATGCATATACTGGACTCTATTTGAAATTTGGTTGAGGGCAGAATCTGTGCTTCATTTTTCCTTTGTGTACCAGATACTTACTAAGGGCCTCAACACCTCCCATAAGCTACAATAAGCTGAGGTCCTAGAGTCTCCCTCCCCCAGAGGAAACTATAAAAGGAAATGTGAACAGGATAACAGGCCAGAGTTACATTTCTCTTTAAATCCTAGGGAATGCCGTGCCTCTAACCAAGACCACAGATCCTCAATAGTGGGCCTGTAGGACAGAAGAGAACTGGCCCTGTGGGTCTGTGAGACTGTAAATCTCTGCAGAGCAGACAGCCTCATCTTTCTCTTGAGGAGTGCTGGTGGGTTTGAACTGCCACACTTGTGGTGAACTGCTTAAAGCACCGCCAGGGCTCCTCTCCTCTTCTCTCTAGGAAGCCTCAAAGCCCAGAGCAATCGACTCCCCTGCTTCCACCATAAACTTGGCCTCCAAGATTTATTTTAGCCTTCTTGGGTATATCACAGAAAAATACTTTTGCATAAAATCAACATCCACCCATAGGCCCACCTGTTGAGGGAGCTTCAGAAAGTCAATAGAAAATTTTCGTTATCATTTCATTTCATTTTCCACGCACTTTTTGAAGCTCCCTCATATTCTCTCCTCCGACACCCATGACCAGGAAAGATCAAAGTTCTTACTTTTTCAACTGAAGACCTAGCCCAAACCCTTCCTTATTTGATGGCTGGAAAACTTCAATCGACGGTTCTGTTAAGAGAAGAGAAAGAGCCCCTAGAAAGCCCTTGGGAAACTGCAGGCACAGTTCCATGGAAAATCTTTCTTAGATTCTAAAAACAGTAGCAGCAGGGATGCCAAACAATAAAGATAAAGGAATAAACCATCAGAAATGGAGGGTAGACTTTGGGAGCTGCCTGGCCAATATCCAAAGTCCTCAGTCAGAGGTTGAGGATAAAGGACGTCAGGGAATAGGAGAAAACAATTTCATTAACCTTTCAAAGGAAGGCCTTCAGGGGATGGCTAACAGATGAGAAGGGGTAAAGACATGAAGGCCAGAAGAATGAAAAGCTCCTACCAATAGCCTGACTCCCAGTTTTTCTCTACATCAGTTTGCCAAGGACTTTGGATTAGGCCACATTCAGAGCACCCAAATGACTTAAATCACCATCCTTACCTGGTCCATCAAGATACTGGGAGAGGGAAAATCGCAGCCTTAACACAATGGGTTCTGTGCGGAGGACCTTCCAGGCTGTAGAAACTTCCTCCTGAGAGAGTAGGAAATTGTTACCAGTTTAGCCAGAGAGAGGAACGGTTTGCTGTTTTCCCTGTCTGACACATACATGCAAATGGCAGTACACGCCACTGTGTGCTGATGGCCTAGGAAAGACAGGGATGAAGAACACATGCTTCAAATAAGCATTCAGGAACCAGACTCCTGGGCTACGTGACAAACTTCACAAAGCCCAGCTCGCTAGGTTGTTTGTTGTACTATCAGCACTTACATCGAGGAAGCTGATGTTGATGTGGAGGTCAATATCCATGTCATCGATAGTTCCATATTCTCTAGAGACACAGGTGAGCACAGGTGAGAATCATTAAGGGAGAAAGAAGGGAGCACAGACAGGTGGAGTAAGAACTGAGCCAGGGGAGAAGGATGGGAAGGGGGAAAGGGACCCTTATATCAATCTAGCCACTCACAAGATGAGGGTCTACACCAGACGCCCTTCTAGCACAAAAGCTAAACTACCTGCCTACAGAGGTCTACAGTTAAAGGGTCTTTCTTTTTACTTAAAAAAAATTATTTAAAAAATCCTTTTATTGGGGGGCTCATACAGCTCTTAACATACATCCATTGTGTCAAGCACATTTGTTGCCACCATCATTTTCAAAACACTTTCTTGCGCCCTTAGTATCAGCTCCTCATTTTTTCCCCTCCCTCCCCCACTCTCTCTCCCAAACCTAAAGGGTCACTATCCTGTGGCTTTCAATGTATCTATGCCCACAAATCCCATAAAAAGAAAAACCAGCTAGCCTTTTCAGCAAGTCAGAAAGAAGGCTGGCTCCCTTGTCATCCCTACAGCGGAGTCCCACCTGATGGATACAGAGTTCTCACTGTAGATCTCCTTCACGGCCTCAATGTCAGCATCAAGCTGTGGGTGGCGATACAGGTCAGCTGCACAGCTCCCCTGAGTCAGTGGCAAACATGGTGGTGGTGGTGGTGGAGAGCGGTATAAAAAGATGAACAAGGAAGAAAAGGAAAAGATGAAAGATAAATGTGGAAAGACCCCAAGCACAGGGGAAATCAAATAGCAGCAATACAGAAGCCCCTCCATCATGGGGCTCTTGGTGGTGGTACTAAGCGGGGCTTTCTTGGCAGACAAGTGGCCCTTCTGTTTCAGCAGACCAATTGCAGGCATTGTTTGGGGAGCTGACAGCCTTAGGTCTCCAGCTTTTATTCCTGACTTATGACCTTCTATGAGAACTCAGACCAGATGAAAAGCACAGTAATTAACATGTGTTGGTTCTATCTAGAGAGCCCCTGGCATTCCTGCTTAGGATTGTGACCTAGGCAGTGGCAGCATCAGTAGCGGGATGATCTTTTTTAAAGAATTTAAAAACTAATGAATGAATAGCCCTGTGGGCTATTGAGAGAGGTGTCCTTAGTGGTGCACAGTCACTAAGTGCTCATTGCTAACGGAAAAGTCAGTAGTTTGAATTCACCAGTCACTCTGCTTCCATAAAAATGACAGCCATGGGAACCCTCTGGGGCAGTTCTACAGAGTCAGTAGGAGTTGGCGTCAATGCAACAGCAATGGACTTTGGGGGTTGTTTAGTGAGAGAAGGGAGCCTTGGTGGCATTGTGAGTTGTGTTGCTAACCACAAGTCAGCAGTTTGAACCCCACAGCCACTTCACAAGAGGAAAAGGAGGCTGTCTACTCCTGTGAGAGTTCACCCTTTTCAAAAACCAAAGGAGCAGTTCTACTCTGCCCTATACGGTTGCTGAGCTGGAATCGACTCAAGGGCAATGGGGTTTTTTGGGGTGTGTAGTCATTGTTTAGTGAAAGAAGATACTACAAAAATAATTATTTTTAATGAATAGTTTATAAGGAGTTTCCATGGACAGAGACCATGGTGTACTCGAGGACAGGTATGAATCCCAGGTAGGAGCCAGGATGTGGATTAGGTAGGACAAGCTCATGCTCAGGCTAAACCAATATTCCATCTTCAACTCATCTCTGCTTTGGAACAATCTCTTTCCCTCCTAAGATACCAAGAGTGAAGCATAAATCTAGATCACCTAACATGGGTCTTGTAGCTGCAGCCTCACCTGAACTCCATAGAGAAATTCCTCTGATTCATTATCTCCTTCTGAATCATCATCATTCCAAAACTGGCCTTTGATGTCCTAGCGATGAAACATCATACAACCCATTGTTAGGTCCCTATTATCCCAAGGCATGGGGTAGGTTGGGAGAATGGGAAACAGGCTCCCACCAGGAGTGGGAGAAGGTCTCTCAGTACAGAGTCATTGAAGCCTACTCCCTTTCTATCCTTTGCCTCCCCTTTAGGAAGATCTCTGGTTCCTTTGCACTTTCCATGGCCTAACTCTGCTTTGGTGGGATGTAGAGGAAAGTGGTAGGGAATTGCAACTTCTTAAGTCTCAGTATGACCAAGGCTCTGATAGCCAGCAAAAGAAGGCCACAAGATTTCCATTTCAAAGTCATGGTTGATTACCAGCCATATCTGGATTCCAGTACAAGCTGGCCTCTGACAGGGTCATTCATTAACCCAGGCAGTCCCCAAGTGCACTTAAGCTCTCTTTCTACCCAAGTAATTAATGAGCCCTTCTCTTCTTCCCATGAAAAGCCATCCCTCCCCCCCTCCCCCAGAAATACTGCTTCCATGCCCCTTCTCCTTCTTTTAACTGCAAATAACTACTCCAAAGTGTTGAAAGGCAGGCAAAGGTGAAACCTGTGCTTGGTCCCATCTCCTCCCTGGATAATAAGCTAGAGAGAAACCTTCATCCCAGGTAGGCATCAGTTCTCACCATTGGATCAGTGGGTCACTCACACTCCCAGGTCAGTGCTAGGCAGCACCCCTCCATACCACCAGTTGAACCCAGACCAACGAGATGGGCATTTAGGAGGCCACAAAGGGAGGCAAGGGAGCAGGCGATGTCAGGGGCTGATTGGTGATCTGCTGGAGATGGCAGGCTCTGCTGTTGCGTGGGTAACAAGTCACTGTCCTGCAGGAGGCAGACAACAGCTGGTTTCATCACCACTTACTTACACAGTGGTATACATACAGGCGCACAGGCTTGCGGGTGTATTTTCATTATACATGTGTCCAGCTACTTGCACAAGGATATACTTGCATGCACGTATACACACCTATACACAGGGCTCTTTAACGACAATGAACTATGAAACCACAGTTGATGCTGAGAGTTGAGGTTGGAACATGTCTGTATGTTCCAACTACAGACTATAGATCCAAGTTCATGCTTTAGTTCATAATGCTACCTTAACCTCTTGACCCACAAGAGGTGGCAGAACCAGATGCTTATGCTATCTTTCTGGTCAGTTCATTTTGGAACATTCTTCACAGTAACCCCCCAACAGGGTTAAGATCCAGAATCTGAGCTTCTTTCTGGACTCTCTATGTTTAGTCTTTTCTCCAGATTGCATCATATGTCCTTTTAAGAGACCCTACAAGTCTTATAAACAATCAGAGCTACCCCTAGAAGTCCCCAGCAGGACCAAACTTCTTGTAGGCATGGTCTAAGTTTTCATAGCCAAAATAATGCCCCGGGCTCATTGTGGAACCTACTGCTAAAATCAAAATGCAATAACGACCCCAATGAATGCTCAGAAAACACTAGCCCCCTAGTTCTTCCATCGACGGTTTCCCTGTTCTTGTCTAAGCCTGTGGCCTCCTGACTTTACTGGGCTCTTTTAGTCCTACAGAAGCTTCTGCACGTAGTAGGGGGGAAAAATTAATCTCCCACACGTACGAAGCCTTGAATAGCAGGGAGGGGCAAAAGCTATCCCAACTTAACAAAAATTTCCTGTTATTGTCTAGGTTTGTGTGTAACAAGTCTAGCTATATATTCCAGGTACCTGGGGAACTTTTAACACACCTCAGTGCACAGTTCTACTTAACAGAAAGTAGTTCTGTATCATGGGATGGATACACGATATTAAAAATATGCTGATATGTATATATATATTTTAAACAAAACACTCTGTGAAGTCAAAATTAAATACCATTGTGACAGGCCTGCCTGGTTCTGCAAGTAACTCAGCCTCACGGACTCCAACCTTGGACACAGATGTTCCTGTTCTCTTAATTGGCTTGACTGAGCCCTGGGTTTCTGGATTTGTGGTTCTCAGAGTAGGTTCTCTGAACTCTGTGGGTTCAGAGTAGGAACCACAGCATCAGCATCACCTGGGAACAAACTGTCATAAATGCAAATTCTCAGCCTCACCCCATGCCTACTGAATAGGGAACTCCAAGGGGGTGGGGTCTCAGCGAGCTCTGCTTTACAGAGCCCTCTACATTAGTCTGATTCGTGAGAAAGCCTGAGAACCACTGTTCCGGATCCTTGTGTCTTCAAAGGGCCTGTGGTCTGTTCCTCAGGAACCAGGATGGGATCTCAGGCACAAAACTAGAGCTAACTCGGGGCCTGGTATCCTCCAGCTGATACCACTACCTCCTGTCTCGCAAAGGGAGACTGAATCTGAAGTTTGGGGGATGAAATGACAGTGATGTCTGGGATTTGCTTTAAAATGCAATTCCAGGGCATGCATTGGCATGTGCATGCACACACCCCCAAAATGAAAATCGATGAAAACTGGAAAATGTTGATGATCGATGAAGCTGTATAAGCATTATCTAAAGAGTTTCTTGCTCTCAAATTCTGTAATAATTGTAAATTCTCCTAATGTAAAGTTAAAAGTGAGGGGCACTTTTGCAGGGCCTTTCCCCTAGAAAGTTAAATCTAAATGTGAGCAGCTCTGTTATCCCTGAGACTCCACAGTGGCTTCCTTGCTCTTCTTTGACTCTATCCAACATATTCCCATCTTGGGGGTCATTTCATCGGCTGGTCCTCTTTCCTAGAATGCTTTTCACCCACAGAGCCACACGGTGTGCTCCTTCTCACTTTCACATCTCTGCTCAAAGGTTAGCATGACTATCCTAAATAAACTAACAACCCAACACACACACACACACACACACACACACACTCCATACTCCCTGCCCCGTATATTTTTCCACAGCACTTACCTCCTTCTGACATACTACGACATGCTAATTATCGGTCTCGCTCATCAGACTGCATGCTCTAAGGTGACAGGGACTTTATTTTCACTCTCTCTGTTCTCAGCAATTCCAACAGTGCACGGCACACAGTGACCCCTCAGCACATACGGGCTTGATGAGTGAAGGACTAAATAACCCTCTGCTGGACACCACCAAGGAAAAGAGGCTACTTCAAGCCAAATGAGAGGTCTCTACAAAAACCTAACTGCTCCTACACATTACCCAAACCAGACACCACATGATCCTGAAAAGAACATGATTCCATTCACCTTCGAGGACAGCGGCGAACCAGAGGATGTAGATCTGAGGACTTGGTGTGTGAAATTTGCCACACATACACCAAAACAAAACAAAACAAAACCCCCAAACAGTCAGGTGCAGATCTGAATGATCTTAGAAGAGCGAGGCGGGAGGCACTAATGTTCAGCCTGGGCCGTCTTGGGCTGGGTGGTAAGATGATGGCAAGAGGATGGAAGTACCAACTGTCTTAAGGTCCTTGTCACTGTAGTAGTCGAGGAAAACTCAGCCTTTCTCCCAGGGTTGTTGTGGCTTGGTTTCTGCTGCTGTCACAAGAAGGAAAAGGTAGTTCATTCAGGGAGTTTTCCTTATCTAGGGAAGACACAGTTTAGGAAACTACCAGTTATTTTCAAAGTGGCTACTTTAGGACATAGACCTTCTCCCTTCAAAGCCCTCTTCGCTGGAGAAATGGAGGGTGGATTTAGAAGGTGAAGGATGGGAGAAAGTGATTGGTGGACTATGTAAATCACAGACAGGTTAAAGAGAAAATTGCATGAAAGATAGCCTGGAGGAAAGCGTTTACACTACAGATACGCAGGCCCAGAGAAGTCAAGAGACTTGCTTAAGGTTAAGAGCAAGGCTATCAGTGGACCTAAGATTAAGCACATTTGCCAAGTAAAAGTCACATCAAATATTCATGTGATGTAGTTATATTAAGGAACTTTGAATGAAGCAAAGTTTATTCGATCTCAATGTGGTAAAAGAGGGAAGCTTTGCTGATAAGTTGGGGGCCAAACACGAGTTATAGACTGCCTGAAGGGACCCCTGGGCAGGGATGTGGTTGGGCCCCCCAGTTCAATATGGACGGTGACAGCTGAATTTGCAGGGAAGAGGCCAAACCTAAGGAAGCCTCAAGTCTGGATCACTAAGGTCTTCCTCTAGTTAGACTACTGGGGGGGGTGCTCCAGGGTGACAACTTTACATCTCGGAGGGAGAAGCCTCTGAGCTCACCGTGCCAACTCTCCGCTTTGGGGTGCCGGGAGGGGAGTGCTCCCTCTCAGAAAGCCTAGGCCACGGAACAAAGAGTGCGGCCGAAGCCGCGGAGGGTCGATCCCCGCAGGCTACTGCTAGCTCGGGTGCCCCGTGGGGAGATGGGACCGGCTGCCTCCAGAAACACTACTCCACCCGCGCTTCCGAGCCCTTAGGCCTCCCTTGGGGAAGCAGTTCGGCTCATCCAGCTTTCGGCCGGAGCTACCCAACGCCTGCCTCCCCGGGAAGAAGCCTGCGCCCCCCGAGGCGTGTCGCCAGCCGCCCGTCCGGAGCGCCGCCGGTCAAGCCTAACGGTGTCACTGTCACCCAGACCAAGCCCCTCACTTCAGCCTCCCCGACCGAGGTGGGGCGGGCCCAGCACCCTTCCCGCGGCCCGCCC